ACGTCGGCTGCGGGTCAGGCCAAGGCACCCGCTTCCTCGCGGAGCACTTCCCCAAGGTGGTGGGAACGGACATCAGCGAAGCACAGATCCAGGAGGCCAGGGACGCCCCCTCCATGCCCAACATCTCCTACCTGTGAGTGCGGGGGACGGGCTGTGCCAGAGGCAGAATTCGGGTCCTTGCATGTGGGGGGTGTTGTATGAGTATGATTGTTGTCACAGCCAGCTGGCATCCGGGAAAACCCCGCTGGATGGGATTCCTGGTGTGAACAGGCACTATCCTAGACTTCATTAGCTGTGGTCTCGCATCCCAAACAGTTACCGACTCCAGAAAACACCCGCTGACTGCACATCCCGCTCCCTGTATGGCGCACTACCTTGTTTTCCCTCCCCCTTCCAGCGTGTGCCCTGCAGAGGAGCTGCCGTTCGGGGACGCCTCGGTGGACCTCCTGACCTCGTTCACGGCCGCGCACTGGTTCGACCTCGAGAAGTTCATGAGGGAAGCGCAGCGGGTGGTGAAGCCGCGGGGCTGCGTGGCCATCAGCACCTACACCGTGGACATGAGCCTGCGCTACGGAAACTGCTCCGAAACGCTGACCCGAGTCTTCCGGGAGGTGAGGAAACCTCAGCCTCGGGGCTTTCCGCTCCTGGCCTGGGCAGGGGCAGGCGTGTGGGCAGCTGCAGAGAGGAAAACAGTGGGGCTGGGGATGCGACTGGTCACAGGATGGGGCGGAGGGATGGTTAAACGCAGGGACGAGGTGGTGATGGGGGTCTGTGGTTCCCACGCAGCGGGAGGGTGGGCTGGCTGGCTGCGTGGGAAGAGGGACGGCAGGATGGATAAGGCAGAGCCTGGCGTGGCAAGAAGGGCTGCGGAGCAGGTCTCGGGAGCTGGTGTAGTGCCGTCTCCTGCTACCCGGAACACAAGGAAAAGACTGGCAAGTGAAAGTTGTTTGGAAAGGTGTGTTTTTAGTGGTCTTTCTTGACAAAGAGTGCTTTAACTCAATAAAAGACTTTACACCATCAGGAAGAGCAGTGCAGGGAGGAGGACAGGACCCTTATCTCTGTAATAAAACAGGATCCTTAAAGTCTTGACACTAAGCAAGATTTTGGTGTATTTTACTACAAGGAGTATTTCAAAAAAAGGCACACGTATGAATGCGTCCGATCTAGGGCCAAGTAAGACTGAGGAGACCGAGAGTTCAGGTGGTTTTGTGGTGGTGGTTTAACCTGCTGTCTTCACAGTCCTGGGACCTGCTGCTGAAATACTCACATGCCAGGATAAAACTCGTCTTGGAAGACTACAAAGAGATCTTCGAGGCCTTGCCGTTTCCAGACAAGAAGAGGTGAGCAGAAAGCCCTCGGCACAGCCCCGGGGGCGGATAGAGGGAGTGTCTCCGTGGGGCTCTCCCACCGGCCCAGCGAGGACACAAGGGAGACGGGTTTGCCGGAGCAGGTAGCTGCCAGGGCAGAGCCACATGGCTGCAAATGCCACTACCAGATGTTGTCCCCATCTGTAGGGCCTCTGATGGTGTCACTTTGTTCACTACTCCCTCAGTCTGTTGTCCTGATCCTGCTGCCTTTGAGATTTAATTTCCCAATGCTCCTTTCCTTCCTGTCTGCCCTCCAGAGTCACGGATATCTTTGACAGCATTCCCATGACTGTTGCTGGTGTGGTTGGTTACTTGGAGTCTGTCTCTCCCTATCAAGCCTTCATGAAGAATGACCCCGAAGCTGCAAAATCCCTCCTCCAGGAGACAGAAAAGAGGTAAGAAAATCACTTGGGAAAACGAGGAGGCTGTGGAGGACCGGTCTCACGCAGAGCACGGAAAGTGAGGCTGTGGAGACCCCTTCCAAGCTCGAAGCGAGCTGTGCAGGGGTGCAATCCCTCCACCCGCCCAGTGAGGCTGGATACGTGTCAGGGGGCAAAGACCAGATCCTCACCCGCTCTCCACGTAGCTGTGTGGTGTTCTTGCACTGCTGTATCCATGGAAGTCCCATGGCAGAGGTATCCTGAGTTTCTGTAGCAGAGGGCAGGAGAAATACTTGTGTCTTAACCAGCCTGTTTTAGCCCACAACAAGGGCGCACGGCAAAGCCGGGAAGGGGAGCATCCCCGTGCCTGCTGTTTGTTGACCAGGACAGCCCTCGGCGTGTGCTGGAAGCATCTGCCGTCACCACCTCAGCGCTGTGGGCGGAAGAGACCTCTCTCCGGTTGCGGTGTCGCCCCATGCCCAGTGGGAGCTGGCTGGGCCGAGCGAGACCCTTTCTCTGCTTCTTGTTTCAGGATGCTGGAGACGATGGGAGTGTCTTCTCGTGAAACGCCGGTGGAGTTCTGGGTGAGGCACGTCTGCGTGCTGGGCTGCAAGGGACAGTGAGGGGAGACCCTTCTCCTGACCTGGTGCTGGAAGGGAGGGCAAAAGGGGGTTGTCTCCTGATGCCCCGCTTGTAACAGCTCTTCTTGGGAAGCTTCATGTTGATTTTGGTGATTACAATTCCCATCTCTGGAAAGCCGACGGGGGTTTCTGCTTGCTCTTGGGCTCCTCTCCACCTGGGTCCTCCCGTCTGCCCAGTGCTGCGCCCTCAGCAGCGAGGGCCCAGTTTCCGGCCGGCGGTGGCCAGGTGGCACGTGGGGCTGAGGAGCTGAAACTTGCTGTGTTTCTTACACAATTAATAATTAAAAACAAAGCTGAGACAAGGCTGCTTGTGGTTCCTCTTCATAGGCCGAGTCCCTGCTGGGGTGGGTACGCCGATGCTGCCTACCCAGGCAGAGTGGCCTTTGTTTCGTGAGGCAGATGGCCCTTAGGCAGAAAGGGCTGCTAGCCAGGAGCTGCGTGCCCTCTTTGAAGGCTGATCTGCTCCAGGGGCTGTTCTCACCCACGGCATGACCGGCTGGCGTGGGTGTGTCGGCAGCTTACCTGCCCTGGGATCGCCCGGTGCTGTGCCAGTGCCTTGTTACTTGCCCTCGGCAGAGCTCGGGAGCCTCTCCGGGATCGCTGCCACAGGTCAGTGCTCCCCTTGGTCCCAGCCCACTATCGCTCGCCCACGCTGCAAAGGGCAGATTAGCAGCTGCATTTTGGGGAGGGGTAGATGGGAGGCAACAGGGTTCACAGCTGGGCACAGCCCAGCACTGGTCCCCTCCTGTTTGCTTTCCAGGTATTTGAAGTCCAGGCACGGCCTCTGGGGAGACCTTTCCCTTTCCTGTAACTCCTGCCCTTGACAAGAAGGCTACCCTGATGCCGCGGGGAGGGCTGCGGCCTTGCGCTGTTGTACCTCGGTGCGTCATTAAGAGAGGCAGAAGTGATACCTCCGCTCCTGGCTCCAGCAAGAGGCTTACAGGGGCTGGAGGTGGTCCTGGGGCTCTTGGGTATGGTCCAGCTGTGGGGGCGGAGCCTGAGCCTCCTTGGCCTGGCAAAGGTGCTGGGCCCTGGGCGTATCTCTGCTGGGGTCACTGAGCACTGACTCCGCTTGCCCAGGGTGGGGAGCAAAGGCTTCAGCCCTGCTTGGTGGCTCCTAGGAGCGGGATGAGTCCCAGGAGGAGACCTCCAGGGAGGAGACCCCATCGCTGGTCCCTGCGTCCATGGCCACGTGTCAGAGAAGACCTCACGGAGCCATGTTGCTGGATCAGGCCCCGCTGCTGGTTGCTGCTAAGAGGCTGCAGGTTGTGTTTGGGCGAGAAGCAGCCGCCAAACGTCACTTGTTGGATGAGGAGGGGGCTGGTGGCTTGTCGTCTGCTGGAGGAGTGCTGAAGGTCTCTCCCTGCCCAGGACTCTCCGGGCAGCCCAGCCACCAGGAGCCAGGCGGTCTGTATGGCTGCCTCGGCCAGGGAAACCCCAGCCCAGTTGGCAGGGCTTGTCCTAGATGAGGTGGGACCCTGGGCAGGGAGATGTCCCCCAGGAGGGGACACGCTGTGTCCTGACAGCACCGGCGGGAAGGCGCTGGGGAAAAAGTGCTTGTTTGGGTTTTTTGTCTTCACTTTAGATTTACATCAGTTTGGCTCAGCTCGCTCATTAACTTGCCAATGAACAGTCCTTCCCTCCCCGCTGTCGGCAGGACACAGCGCATGGCCCAGGATGACCGGCCGTGACGTAGCACTGGGGATTATGTCACTGTCGCGCTCGGTGTCGGCAGCACGAGGCACGCGGGGTGGCACTGACCAGGCCCGTGTCGCAGCAGTGGCTGCCGTGGCTCGTGGGTGCCCAGAGGTGGCAAAGGGCGTGGGGTGCGGCGCTGGGCCAAGGGCACTTTGGTGGCACCAATGCCTTGGGCTGGTGGGGTCGGTGATGGCAGCTGGGTGGGGGCTCCTGATGTCCCCTGCCCCGCAGGGCTCCCGCACATCACTGAGTTTTTATTTCTAAAGCTGGCTTTTGGGGGACTT